CTTTTTTAAATTTAACATTAAATTAATGTTTTCTGGCTTTCTGATATTTGAGAAGTTGATAGTACAACATATATTTTATGTTTCTTTCATTCACTTAACCAGGCTTTATGAACATTAATTCCAAGTTGCCCAATTACTTGCATGTTCCATTTGGTTCTTTTATATAGACACTGTTCACTTTAGATAGATAGATTTTAAAGCCTTGAAGCTTGTTTAATCCTAATGATTAATAAAATATTGAGAGTGGCTAGCTCACATCTTTTTTTTAATTCACCAATTAATTTAAGGTAAGTAAAACACATTTATTTAATTCATGAAGAGAGGGAAAGGAAAACAAAAATTGTAATATTATAGAAGTGGAATTCATCTTCATTACAATACATATATTAATCCGAGTCCTTTGCCACGTCTTGGCAGGTTAACTTTCCATATGAATGCTAATTCAAGGTTCTGAATTAACTTGGACATGGACTTTTTTGTTTGAGCTATATGATTAGCATATTTTAATTTAATGTTTATATTTTATTTGCACTTGTTAATGGAAACTGTAGGCACTGATTTTAATGAAAAGATTGGTGTAAGAGGTAGGTTTAAGGCTGTAAACATAATCCTTATTATGTATATTATGTTAGTGCCCAGAGGAGAATGGATCAAGATCAGAGCCTTGTTGTGCTAGGTGGTGTACAGATTCATAGATAGACCGGATTCCTGTCTCAGGAACTTGTCTGTCTGTGACAATTTAAACAATAACAGGATAGAGGAAGAATACTAAGTATTTACAATTTTTGTATAACTAAACATATTGATTTTCCTTGAGTGGCCATTTCCTATATGTATGGTGCACATGAATCTGAAAACTATTCAAAGCAATGTCTTTGGTTGACACGTGCTGCTGCTCTCTTTGTGTTCCCAAGTGAGAGTGTAAGAGGCAGTGTGGTCAATGCCAAGCGAGAGTGTAAGTGTGGTCTCTTCGCCACATGGTTTTGGTTGGAATTGTGTCTTTGTTCATGCTGTTGTATAACTTGCAAGCAGGGGTGAAAGCACATGTCGGGATTTACCAGGGTGCTGCTCTGTACTGGGCCTGGTGTTCTGAGTGGGAGGGTGGTGGCTCTGGGCTCTGGAAGGGTTGAGGCCTCAGGTGGAAGGGCGCAGGCTTCAAGGTAGACTCCCACACCAACCAGTCCTTCATGGCTGGCAGTTGGAAGCCCTAGGGCTGCAGTGGTAGAAGCCAGGGTCCCCAGTGCTCTGGCAGAGATTTGAAAGACCCCTGCTCCTGGTTGCTGCTGGGAGCCCCAGGCCCTTTGAAATTGCTGGACCTGTGGGAAGCTACCCCTTTTGCTTCCCTCTGTTGGCAGCCCTGCCAGTAGGGTTTGGCTTTAATATTGATGCGCCTTTTGCTCAAAGGGGGCAATGAATCATTGCCACAGCAGGGCCACTGGCAGGGGGAGTAAAAAGTTAGCTGTGTGTAGATCAACACCAGTGACCAGTTCTTACAGGTGTGCTGCACTGGCCCTCACCGACCAACTCTCACCTCTGTATGCAAGGAAAGAATATATTTATAAATTGTACTATATTTTTAGCTTAGTCATTAGTAGCTAAAGTTTATATTTGGCAGAGTATTTCTTTTCCTCTGGTTAGTGACGCTATCCTCAGTGCCCGAACTATGTCTAGAATTCCAGAATTGTGTCTCCTGTTTTTGCTTTTTCCCATCGGTGATGAACATCATCAGTGCCTGTACGGGTCTGGGTGAAGTGAACATCTCTGTAGAGTGCAGTATGTGTTGCTCCTTCTCACTCAGAACTCGGACACCTGGGAGCTTTGTCTATAATGAGGAGAAGGCTATGAAGCCCCTCTCTGATCTGGGCCTGGGAGACACCCCATCATTGGCGTCAAATGATCAGCCGTGTCCCTCCAGATATGAGCATTGGTGTGTGGTGCCTTAAACATTTAAGCCCAATGATTCTTCTTTTAGGGCTCTCCATGGGAATAGAGGGCCTTCTCACTGGCACAAGGAAACTGCCCATGAAAATGTATTTCCTCCCCAAATCTGTCCAAATTGGATGAGAGATTGCAAATGGAACCTAAGGAACTGGCTTCACCAAAGATCCCCAAATTGGAGAGCAACATACAAAAAAAATCCACTGGTTCCGTTAGTCATTTTGGTACTCAAATGTAAGGAGAGACAGTAACTGTTCTATGAGTGCTGCTCTAGACTCTTCATCAGTATCACCTCATTTGTCTAAAAACTAGCTACTGCAGATGCACTAGATCCTTCAGATTTGACTGCTGGAACCCCTCAGAAACCAGCATATACAGACATGTTCAGAACACCTTTATCCACAGTCTCCACTTTTTTCCAATCTTGCCCTGCTGAGGAATTACCTTGTTCCAGAGCAGAAATCTGTATCAGTGTCCAAGTAGCAATTCCATCTCCAGCCATCTTGCAGGAGTGCCCTGGTACCAATGGAGCACTGCTGCTACCAATGAAACAGTTCTCTGACTCAGATGAGTCAGAGAAGATAGCTGCACCAGTATCTCCCAACAGACAGCTGAGGGGTTACACTTGCCATTTCTCCAGGTGTGATCCCCCTCAGTTTCCTAGCTGGTTCCCTTGGGGTCCTCCACAACCAATCAAGCTTTCTTTCTGGGCTTATTGGGAACTATGGGATGCTTATAGTATGTGTCTCTGCCCTTTTCAGGAGTTATACCACTCCTCTTCCTGTTGTTAAAGAGTTTCATCAGTTTACAAGGAGCAGGAGCCAGAACCAGAGCCACTCACTCATGCTTCTGATGGTTGCCTTTTCCTCATCCTCAAATGATGAGGTAATTTCTTCTTGGCTTTCTTTGCCAGATGAGCACCAGCAGCACCAGAAACTGTTAGAGTTGCCAGTGGCCTACAGATCCCATTAGTTGTGATCGGAACCATCAGCACTGGCTCCTGACATCTTGCAACCACACAAGCCAAATTAAGTAGCCCTTCTTATAAATAAGGCCATACAAGAAGTACCCAGAGTGGTATGGCACATTCTAGCATCCTGTTCTCTGACACCAAAAAGAACTGAGAAGCAGTATTTTGTTTTTGCCAAACAAGCTGAATTTTTAATTTTCACATCTTGCCTCCAACTCACTGGTGGTACAGGTGGGCACAGAAAAAGCTTGGTTGTATTATGAAAGGGTCATTAATACAGATAAAGGCTCTAAGAAATAGACCACCTGTGGCCTGCAGTTTTGTGTAACTATTAAGCTTTGTTAATGAAATACAACTTAAATAACTATTCCAGGCTTGTGGACTTCAGATATAAGCTTCCCACGGAGGACAGAGCCAATTTTCCATGGGGAACAGGGTCTCTTACGTAAGGGGAGGCTAGTGACAAAAGCTGCACTACAGACTGCAGCGGACACTACTGTTTACTGTCCCTGGGCTCCTTCCTTCTCCCCCTCAACATGTACCTTAGTCCAGTGCAAGCCCTCTGGTCTGGGCAGTGCTAGAACCTCTGGCAAGGTGAACAGTCCCTCTAGGCCATAGTCCAACTGTGGGCCCTGTAATCCAGGCCAGTCCTCCATTTCCTTCAAGTCCAACTCACAGCTTGAGAGCGCAGAGGGGGGCTTCTGGGTCCTCTGGCAGCTAGAGCCTGACTGGCCTTTTAGGCTGGCCTTATATAGTTCTGGCCACACCTCCTGACTTCCAGTCAGGTGATGTACTGGGGTCAGGCGCTGCAGTCTTTCAGTCTTCCCTCATAGGTCATGTTTTGTAGATCTTTAATAATTTTTATTGCTCTTCTCTGGACCTTCTCCAGTTTCTCCACATCTTTTTTGAAATGTGGTGCCCAGAACTGGATACAGTACTCCAACTGAGGCCTAATCAGTGTAGAGTAAAGCAGGGAATGGCTTCTGCTCCTGGCCTGCCATGCATGGGGTGGCTGGCAGCAAGAGCTAGCAGCCCATTGCAGGGTGGGGATCCATCTCCTGCTTCTGGCCCCCCTGTGGGACTGAAGCAGCCCTTTAGTGAGCTGCAAGTGGGGAGCTGCTCCCAGATATCAGTTAACTGGTACTTGGCAAGTATCACCCAGTTAGAGTGATGCTTACCAGGTAATCCAGTTACCTGTTCACATCCCTACTTTAAATACAGCAGCCAGGCAAAAGGATGGGAGAGATTACAGACCTGTAGAGAGGTGGAGGGCCTAGCCTTGGGTCAGAGAGCACATTTCTTGATCCTGGTTCAGTTGCCTTATTTTCTACGCTAAGCTGCCTCCCCAAATGTTAGTTACTTTTCATATTGTCCATTTTGATGCTCTGTAATAGGAAGGTCACATTTTTACTGCCAGGGTTGTCAGAATGTGCTCTGAGGAACCCAGTGTAAATCTGCTCTTTGGTTACCAAACAAAGAGTTCTGTGGCAGAAAGGATGTGTGCTTTCAGAAATTGATACTTTTAATACCAATATTATCAGATTAACCTTGAATATGCTTAAAGGTTTTGTTAGTAAGTACAAAAACTGGATAATCTAGATCTTCCTATAATAACCCATATAGCGTATTTAAATTCAACAGATGTCTTGCACAAAGCTAAGGAATAATCTAGTTGGTATTAGTTATTTTTGCCACTTAGAAATGTAGTTCTGATAAGCAAATATATTACATTTTATTCTTCATTGGGTGAGACTTATGAATATGTAAGTGGGGGAATACTGAGTATTTGCAACACTACCTGATTTCAATAACAGTTTGAATTTTAGATGCAACTAGTTACACTTAAAATAATATTAAGACAGCTTTAATAAAGTTTGCATCAAAATAGTCCCAGTTTATATATTAATATAGTGAATATGACTTTAAAGAGAATATTTTAATAAGGAGTGATTCATTGTGCTATCTATATTTATGTAACAATATTCTGCTAAAATGTTTTATATGTTCTTTTATAACCAGTATTTATGTTCATTACTTTTTTCCCCTCTTTGGGCTGGGATGGCTACTATATACCATGATGATTCTGTTCCAGACTTTAATCCATCAAACATGGGACTGGTAAGAAGAAACTGAGCTCCCCTTCCCTCTTCTCGCCAGTATGCTGTTTTCATTTGTTCATGTGTGCAGAGTATGGTGGCTTGTAAAGATGTTAATTTTGGACTGAATGTATATTAGAGTACCGGTAAAATAAAAACCCCCTACATTTAACTAAGTTTGCCATCGTTTGACTGGTAAGCTAGAGGTTCATCAGATACAATACTTTATTCAGGTCTCTTTGCTGAGGCAAGAAATAAGTTCCATTGCTGTCAATCTTGATTAATACATTTGGCTGGATTCTTCAGTGCCTTGCACCCTGTATAGTCTCATACAACTATGAAAAGTTAGGAGAAGAATGCTGTACCCGGTGTGAGTTAGAGAATGCTAATTCGGAAGTACTTTACACTGATATATATTACTAAACAAGGTACAAGGCAGTAAAAAATCAGGCACCATTTTCCAATAAGATATACAGAAGCTATAAAGCTTATTCCCCAGCTCAGTGAAAAGAAATGAATCAAGTGCTAGCAAATTAAAATTCTCCACTAATTCACACTGGCCACAACAAGTAGAGTGAGGAATCAGGTGTGTAGGATTTCACTTAAATGATTACAGTACTCAGATTGTTGTACTGCCTTGTGATACATAGATAACAGGGTGGTTGTACCTTCAGCATAATGTTAGTAAACTTTGGTTATAAAAAGATACCTGAAATTCTCATTTGGAATGTTGATTTGTAGTAAATTATTAGGTTCCCATCATCTCTTTCCTCTTTGAACTCAAAATTGGTAGAAATTATAGTGAATTTCAACACAGAGAAATCCCTTTACAAAATCAATTCTGTAATAAATTGTTGCAACCATATTGTTGATTATAAGTTCAACCTTTTAAAGTCTGTTTAAAAACAAATCAACAAGCAGTCCTGTGGCACCTCAGAGACCAACAAGTATACCGTCTGAAAAGTGGGTTTTCCCCCAAAAAGCTCAGGATACTCTCTCTCTCTGAGGTGTCACAGGGCTACTTGTTGATTTGTTTTTAAAGTTACAGACTAACACTGCTAACCCTCGGAGACTTTAAATTATGTAGTAAAGTATGATAACAAATAGTAAGCTATGTTTCAGTTGCATAGGAGTACAATTTTAGAACTGTGTAATATGAAGGACTTGAAGTCATGGGATTAATAAAGGTTTTTGAATCTTTCCTGTTTAGATTGCTATTTTGAATACAGTCCAAAAGTGACAAGGTTATCCAGTATCTTATTTGAAGTAAATTGCTAGTCTGGGTTTAGTTTCTAATGGACATGGGTCCATGTTACACAAAGCATAGTCACAACTGACACCCATGTAGACAGTTTTAGTAGCAAGGATTGTTGTGGAAAATGGCCAAAGTTTGAATTGTTAGGGAAAGCATATTGCTATCTTGCATATTGCAGAGCATTGCACTGTATTATGAACACTGTAAATTGTCAGTGTTGTGCAGTGTTGTTCTAGCTGTGTCAGTCCCAGGATATTGGAGGGACAAGGAGAATGAGGTAATATCTTTTATTGGACCAACTTTTGCTGAAGAGAGAGACATGCTTTTGAGTACACAGAGCTTTTCACATCTGGGAAAGATCCTGAGAGTGTCAGAGCTGAATAGAAGATCAAACAAATAGTTTAGCGTAAGTAGTTAGCATATATTTTAAGGAACCATTCAAGGTGAAGTGGACTTTTAATCCTGTATTCACAGGACAAAAAGGGAGGCTAGTGGGGTACAAATTATTGTAATAAGACATAAATCCATGTCTTTATTAAGATCATGATTTTTAGTGTCTAACAAAGTTAAGAATTTAAGCTCCCAGGCTTATCTTTAAAAAGGGTTGTGCGGGTTTCTAGTGCAATAACTATGAGGGTGAAACCAGAAAATCACTACACTCTTGAATGAACTTACACAGAAAATGACAAAAAAAAAAAATATCATCTGTAGGAGAACACTTTTAACAAAGCAATCATTTCATAGATGACTTTGACTCCATCCTCAAAAGAACCTAGACAACATTCAAAAGATGCGCTTGAGAGCTTAAATTTGCTAGATGCTACAAATTGTTTTGGGCTTATCTCAGTATAATGATCTCACTCAGGATTGTGGATTTATCACATTCCGAGTGACATAGTTATGTAGCCCTGAATCTGCCATAGACAGAGCTCCTGCTATAAACGCAGGGAGGTGCATTAAGTATGACAACAGGAGAAGTTCTTCAATGAGTGTAGGTATGTCTTCATTTAAGTGCTGTAAAGGTACAGCTGCATTGGTGCAGCTGCAACAATGCCGTATTTTATGTGAAGATCTGCCCTTAATAAAGACACTGGATTTATTGCTTACTACAAAAGCCTGTAACCCATGAATCCCTGTTTTTGTCATGTAACTACATGTGGAGGTGTCTTATAAGTGGGGACTCAGAGTGGCCACTAGCCCCATGACTCCCCCAGCCTGGAGAAAGGCCAGGACAGCCCCACTCTGCCCCAGGCTCCACATCTCCCAGCCCTTTCTCTGCCCCCACCCTGTCTTTTCCCCCAGCAGCAGGGGTCCAGTTTCCCCCACTGGCAGCAACAGGGGAAGTGAAGCAACATAGCTCCAGCCTCTTTTATTCCCTTGCTGCATTGTTCTGTTTCCTGCTGGAGAGTGCAGGGGTGGTGGGGAGAGAAGAGCAAGCTGGGGCTGCCTTGCTCTCCTTCTGCCGCTGCCGGTGAGAGCAGGGAAGCCGGACCTTTGCAACAGGTACCAGCCCCTTCTCCCCCCACACTAACCCTCCTGCTGGCTGTTGGCTGGCCCCTCCCACCTATGGTGTTTGGAGGGCTTGCAATCCCTCGTGGCCCCAATGCATCACTCTGACCACAGGGACCTTCATGGGCCACTTCACCATTAATGGCCCCTTTGTATATGGGCTAACTACTTAAGAGTTTTTAAGTTGGGACCCTTTGGGGGGGATCTCAAAGTTACATGGGGGACATGAGCTGTAAGCTGCCGCCACCCTCAAGTCCTTCTTTGCCTCCAGCATTTATAGTAGTGTTTAATATAAAAATTGAGTTTTTAATTTATAAGGGGAGGTCATACTCAAAGGCTTGCTGTGTGAAAGGGGTCACGAATACAAAAGTTTGAGAACCAAGCTGTTTGTTCAACCTCGTATTTAGCTGTGACACTCTTAGTACCTTTCCCAGACCTAAAGAAGAGCTCTGTGTAGCTCAAAAGCTTGTCCCTCCTACCAACAAAAGCTGGTCCAATAAAATACATTACCTCACCCACCTTGTTTCTCTAATTTTCAGCTTTGTCAATCTGGCACTTTTCACAACCACTTGAATACTTATAAACAAACCAGCAAGCAAAAATCCCAGAAAAAAATAATCACTCAGACACTAGTACAGCTGAACTGAGTGTCTTCTGTTTTACTTTTGTAGTTCAGAAATGAATCCAATGAATTCTTGAAAAATTCACAATTGGAATCTGACAGTGCTTTCATTGGTGAGTTTATGCCTCTGTATTTAGCAGTATTTATGTTTATGTGCAAAATTACATTTGATATGGTGGTGATGTTCTCAAAGAAAAGTGACTTATACTACTTTTTTTAAAAGGCTTAAACCAGTAGACTTTTCCAGTGGGGTTGGTATTGTCAGTTCTAATGATATGTGCTAGGTAGGTCCTTTAACTTAAAAATGGGTGTTAATCGCCTACTCCTTTTTGTCCTCCTGTGTTTTGCTTTTTCATCAATGCTATACTACTTAGCTCTGTTGTTACAGTATCTATTGTCAGACCTTAATGTGCCATTATATAGGTTACAATATCTCTAAAATTAAACTGTAAGAATTCTTGCTTGGCCTTAAATCAAATGTGACTTTGGCAGTCCATTCTCTGTTACATGTACTATTAAGGCAGTCAGTCTAAATTGATTCCCCTGACTGGATGTTAGCATTATCTTTTACATGAACCACATCTGTAGCCACTGAAATTCCATTAGATTGTCCCAAATTCTGCAGCATTGAGATGTCACTGAATGAGAATTCTCCATAAGTTTAATTTGCATTAAGAATCAAAGTTTTAAAATGAGTTAAATATTACAGCTTATTTTGTTATAAAATTCCATTTATTTGATACTTTCCCCATGTTAAACTTTCATTACTTCAGGTGTTTGTATTAATTTAGTGAACCTGGATATTTTGCAAGTTGGTAATGCACAATGAGGACTTCGAAAATCTATGGAAGGCAATTTGAAATTGTGGGATAAGCACATTATCTGGGTGCTTCTGCTAAAATGATCAGCAGTGAAATACATAATGTTGATAGATATTGTTAGACTTCCTTTGTTAGATTTCATAGGCCTTGTCTTCTCAGAAAAAAATCAGGCATTGCAGTTGTGCACCACTGTAGTGCTTGAGTGAAGAACCACCTACCTGTGCTGATGTTAGGTGCTCTCAAAGATCATCTTCTTCCTTGTCAAGATAGCTCTATCTACCAGGGATTAGGCTGGCTTAACTGCATCACTCAGTGGGGTGGGTTTTTCATACTCCTGAACCATGTAGTTATACTGATCTATTTTTTATGTGTAACAGACCAAAGTAACCTCTTGAGCTGAATAAGGCAATTCTGAACTATTGTTTCATGAAGCTCCATTGCTCTTGGTTTATACCGTAATTCCTCGCTTAACTCGTGCCCGCTTAACACGTTTTCATGATAGCATGATTTTTTTGGGGAACATTTTTCGAACAACACGACCCGCCCCAGCAATAACACGATTTCCTCTAGGGCCTAACCCCCAAGGCATCCAGCCAGAGCGGGTCACCGGGTAACTGTGCGGCGAGCGGAGAACCTCCGCCACTTTGTAAGGAGGCAGACGAAGCCCCGTGCAGCTGCCAGTGACCGGCAAGCTGGGGAAACCCAGCCACCCACTGCAAGCGGGGGGCAGAGGAGAGGGAGCGAGGCGTCCGGCCAGAGGGGTCGCCGAGGAATGGCGCACAGAGCAGTGAACATCCGGAGGCAGGGTAAGCCCCGCGCAGCTGCCAGTGACCGGCCAGCTGGGGAAACCCAGCTGTTGGCAGCAAGTCCCCTTCCCTGTCCTTCCCCTCCCTTCCGTTCCCTTCCCCAGAGCCAAACACCTCCCCTCCCTGCTAGAACCCAGTCCCCTTTCTCCCCCAACCTTATGTCCCGGTCCCAGCTGCTAACAAATGCAGGCTGGAGCTGCAAGCACACGTGCGCTTGAAATGCAACCCCTACCTTTTCCATTATTTTCAATGGGAAAATTGACCCCGCATAACACGTTTTCACTTAGCACAATCATTTTCTGAAACATATCTACCGTGTTAAATGAGGAATTACTGTATTTGGAAAATTGGACTGCAAAACTAGGATGATTAAATGGGTATAGATATATATGTTTGTCTATGTGTATAATGTAAATGAGCTTAGTTTCTATAGCACTGTTCTTTGACTAAGGGGGAGGGCAAGATGACAGTTCTTCAGCAAATGCTTTATAATCACAGATACATAGAGGTATCCTACTATTTTGCTAGAAACAGAACAATTCATTCAGCAGCTGCAATTTCGAACTACAGGTCATCCATTCTGAACTGTTGTAGTACTAAATAAGTCATAGTCTTGAAAAGGTCAAGATCTTCCATCAGCGTTAATGTATTTTGCATGAATGTGAAACTTGGGGATTCCTGATTTCTGGATCAAAAGGGTTAAATAACAACGGGGATGCAATCGCAGTTTTAAGCTGCTTAGATATAGATACAAGCTTTTTGTACTCTTTATGCATTGTTCTTTAAAATGGCATGCCTCCAATTGGTATCTTGGAGGATGCTACATAGAGGAATATTTGTGAGGCACGTCAGGGTTACAAGTATAATATGTGCTTTTTAAAAACTTGTGATATCTATGTGTAAAAGTGAAATTATATTTTTCCTCTGTCATGTTCATTTATCACATCTTGTTTGAAATTAGCTTGTAAATGCCTCATTTTGCAATATATGCACAAAACCCAGTGTAACTGAGTCTGTGATCTGTTTGGGTCTTCAGTTGCTAGGCAGTATAGGGTTACAAGTATAATATGTGCTTTTTAAAAACTTGTGATATCTATGTGTAAAAGTGAAATTATATTTTTCCTCTGTCATGTTCATTTATCACATCTTGTTTGAAATTAGCTTGTAAATGCCTCATTTTGCAATATATGCACAAAACCCAGTGTAACTGAGTCTGTGATCTGTTTGGGTCTTCAGTTGCTAGGCAGTATAAATGTCGGCAGGAATAATTTTCAGTTATTTGGGCATAAGGGTTCCACAGATTCCCCTTTCCTATCTCCAAGAAATCAAAAAGCTTGCAACATTTATTTTTTGTAACAAAGAGAAAATACAGAAGTTTTATGCCTGTGGATTGTTTTATGAAGCTAAGAAACCCTATTTTTGTATAAACAACAAGAAGTCCTGTGGCACCTTATCAACTAACACATTTATTGGAGCATAAGCTTTCGTGGCCAAAGACCCACTTCGTCAGATGCATGTAGTGGAAATTCCAGAGGCAGGTATAAATATACAGGCACATGAAAAGAAGGGAATACCAATCAAGAGGAAGGCCAGAGATAACGAGGTCAATTTAGTCAGGGAGGATGTGACCCATTTCTAGCAGCTGATGGGGAAGTGTGAACACCAAGAGAGGAGAAACTGCTTTTGTTAGTTGGCTAGCCATTCAGTCTTTGTTCAATCCTGAATTGATAGTGTCAAATTTGAATTGTAGCTCTGCAGTTTCTCTTTGGAGTCTGTTTTTGAAGGTTTTTTTGTTGCAGGATGGCTACTTTTTGTGTGTGTGTGTGTCATGTTGTCCTCTCCCCCTGGTATCACTGTCTTTGTCTCCATGTAAGGAGAAAGAAGGGTCAAGTTTTTTGTCAGATCTGGATTTCATATTAGAAAATACATTCAAACTCACTGTGTTGTTGTATATAAATATTGGAGACCATGGTACAATCTGACATGAGCAAGGGAATGGACAAGATCTTATTATTCTTTTCCATCTCTTTGATTTTATGAGTAGTCTGTACCCAGTATCCTTTCATGTTGTTTATTGTTTACTATTTAAGTGATTAAAAATATGCTCAGTTCTGTACCAAATGCAAATGTTGAGAGTACTTTTATAGAAGACAGACATAGAAAAACAGAGAACTCAGAAAACTCTGGAACAGCTGTCCAAGGTTAGCAGTGAGGAGGGTAAGTTTATGGAGGGGATGGTACGATGAGACAGGTTACATAGTGTAGGCAATCTGCAAATGCTAGCAACAGATATCTCCAATGGCTGGTGTTGGGACACTGGAGGGGCAGAGCTCTGAGTTAGGGATGTAATAGTGTAGTCGATTAACCAATAAACAAAAGCTTATAGGTTAATGTTATAGACTACACGCATTTCCCTCTTTCCCCTTGCCAGTACGTTTTTAGAAGGCTGGCCAGCAGCCCGTCTCAGTCCCGGATTGTGCCAGGTTCAGGACCTATCCTTGCGGGCAGCTCTGCATTTAAAATGTATTAGGAACCAGGTGGGCAGGCAGCCCAGCTTAATTCCAACTCGCGCCAGGTCTTGAGCTCACAACCCACCCTGGACAAGGGTTGCTGCCACCTTGTGCTGCTACTTCTGTATCAGAGGCAGCAGTGTGGGGCAACAGGCCTGGTTTTTAAACTGGCTCACCTTACGGATCAGTTCCTGCCTGGCACCCCGTGCTGCTGCCTCTGATACTTAGGCAGCAGTGTAGAGTGGCAAGGGGCTTCTCGGGAGTGGGGCCAGAGTGCACTAGCTGTCGGCTTCACCCCCAGGGACTATAGAATAGTCAAGTAACCGATAAGAATTCAAGAGGTTAATTGACTATTCAGTTAACCAATATTGAACATTCCTACTCTGAGGTTGCAGGAGCAGGCGGGGGGTAGGGTGTCTGGCCAGGGGGAATGGTGCAGGAGCAGTGGGGGTGCAGGGTCTCGACGAGGTGTGTGTGTGAGGGAGCTGGTGTGCAGGGGTCTGGGCATGAGGGGGCGGGAGACACTTACTTGTCTTCAGGCCCCGTACTGGTCCCAGGTACTGCCTCCCACTGCTCCCATTGGCTGGATTCTGGCCAATGGGAGCAGCAGGGAAAGCGTCCGGGCAGCACATCCAGGCAAAGCATAGGCAGCATCACTGGGCATGTGGTTCAGGCTGTCACTCTTTAAAGCAGCATGTAAACAGAGATGCTGGTATTCAGCTGCCCTGGAGCACCTGCTCTCCTCTAAGGTGGTGGTGAACCGTTATGAGCGGCCCCCATGTCTCCCAGATATTTGATAGCTGGAGTGGCTGTGGTCAGCCCCGAGGGGTCAGGACACCACCCAGATCTGAGCCTGGGCCCTGCATATCTGGGGAAGGGCCAAGACTGCATATGAAGTCTGGAACTGCTTTTAAAAAGGAGCGGAGGTTAAAAGCAAAACAAGGGCTGTGGGTGAAGTCCTGCTAGTGCCTGGCTGACACATGCCGTCATCTGCTTCAGGACCACGCTGGGCATCCACCCTGTTGCCAGGAACTCAGCCAGCCTTGGCCTGGTGCTTCTGGGAGAAGATGCCCTAAGCCCCAGGGTGTGCCCTTGCCAGGAATATCTCCTCCCAGGCTTTGGTGCCCTGTTCTAGAGCTCTGCTTGGCTGGGGAGATAGAAGGGATGAGCACTTCACCTGCCTCCAGCAGTTACGGTGTCAGCATTTCCTTGGCCCTGGAGAGGGATGCTGCCTTCTGCCCCTCAGCCAGAGCGGGGGTGGGGGTGGGGGCTCCCCTGGGTCTGCTGCCGGGTTCTATGCTGCCCCCTGGTTCAGAGCAGCTGCTGCTGCCGCCTTCTTGGACAGCCTGTTCTCCATCTCCTTCTGGAAGGGAGGTGGGCTTAGCCTGTGGCCCTGCTATGTGTGGTCAGTCTGGGTTTTCTGTCCAATGTATATGGAGGGAGAAGAAAGAGAGATGCTCCTGCAGAGCACAGTGCGCTAGCTGCCACTCAGGCACACGCCCCACAGGTCAGCTATGATGGCAAGAGCAGCAGCAGCAACAGCTCCATGCAAGGAGGAGGAAGGGGAAAGGGAGGTGGAGTGGAAATGCTTCTTTCCCTGTGAGCCTGATTGCACAGCGAGGTTCGGAGGAAGCCCCTGCTGGTGCTCCACCCTCATGAGGCAGGGCAAAACTGTAGCACCACCACAGGCTCCCCTACTGTGGGAGAAAAGAGGGGGGCTGAGCTCCAGCAGTAGACCACCTACAAGGAGGCCATAGAGCCCCCTCACTGACTTGGGGGACTAAGGGGTTGCAGTTGCACCCTTTGCACCCCGCCTGCATACGGGCCTGCATTAGATAATGCTGGTATGAAGATACTCCATCTAGAGATAAAAAAAGTATGTTCTCAAGAGGAACATGCAATCAATCTGAAAATGCAGCTAAGAGCAGGGATTACTTTTAACAAGAACAATACACTAAATTTTTACTTGATTGCCCTCTTTTGGCCCAGGCAGTAGTGGTTCTCCAGCCTCCTGCATGTATCATTTCACCCAAGTGTTACCTTCCCAATATTCCCTAGGTTCCTGACTCAATGCAGTGGCAAGATAAAACACCCCAATCCACGACTGCTCCAGGGACATGATCCTTAGAACATTCATGCTCCCCATCTGCATGAGACATCCCTCCAATAGTCGAAAAGACTCCACTAGAAAACATTACCCACTTAAGTGGAAATGCTTCTCATCTTGGACACAACAAAGAGGCAGGGATTGTAGGTATTCTTCTCACTGTAGACTGTATCCTGTCTTCAAAGACATCAGGTGTATTCGTCAGTTTCCTACAAGTCACTTAGCAGTGATTAGTGCATACTATTCACCTGCTCAGAGTTACTCAATTTTCATGTACCGATGAAACTGGATTCTGGAAAGGCTTAATAAAGACTTTCCTTCCTACTCAGAAGCACCCACCCCAGTGGTAACTGAATCTTGTTCTCTTAGGCTACGTCTAGACTACATGCCTCTGGGGACATGGGGGCCGCTCAGCGCGGTAATCTGGACGCGCGGGTGTCGACATCAAAGGCATTTGTCGACCACCTAGGTATGCCTCCTGGAATGAGGTTTACCTGGGTGGTCGACAAATGCCTTTGATGTCGACACCCGCGCGTCCAGATTACCGCGCTGAGCGGCCCCCATGTCCCCAGAGGCATGTAGTCTAGACGTAGCCTAAGAGAACAAGATTCAGTTACCACTGGGTATTTTGAATACTGGTATTTTGAAGGTTGACTTTGTAAATGACATGTTTTTAGATAGACAAGGATAATGAGGTAATATCTTCTATTGGACTAACTTTTGTTGGTGAAAGAGAGAAATATCAAGGTTATACAAAGCTCTTGTGGATTTTATTTAAGACTGAAGTTAGCTGGCTAAGTATTATGGAATCAAAAAGTAATTCAAAATGTTGACAGCTCAGGTGTTCCAATTCTTTCCATGTTGTTTTAAAGAATGCTACAAAATGGAAAAAAGATCCCAAAAACATCTTTGGCATTTAAAAAATCTTAGTATGTCACCAAGAAAGGCAGAAAAACCATATGAACTCATGCAAGAGAGAGAAACATGGAATTAATCATGATTGTAGTTAATTTTTTAAAATCGTGCTACTGTAGAATCCTTTCAGTCAAAATCATTTTTGCGAAGAATAATTCACAATTAATGGATCCTACCATTTTAATAGTAAAGCAGCTTTTTGGGGAGCTGCAGAGATCTTTTGTGTTACTGGAGATACTCAGCGTGTTCAAGATACTAACTGCAATATAATAGAGACTGAGCCTGCAGTCTGCCCAAAGCTGGTATTATGAGCTTCTACAAGATCTTTTTAGTGTTGCTGATTTTTGTCTGTGAATTGGTGATATGATGCTTCTGGAGCTCTGTGCTAGCAGAGAGGACAGCTTGCTGATAGAGCAGACCTTAATGTCCCGTCCCCCCCCCCAAAAAAAAAGACTACAGGCTTGGTTTGGTGGCAAAGCCATTCAGCCAGTTTTATTGTGGACAAGGCTCAGTCCTAGTGCCCTGGCTTAATGGTTACCGTTACACTAACACATGTCTGCAACAAAGTAGTTGCTCCCTTGACTTGGTGTCATCCCCTATGCCAGGACAAAGATGCCCCTCCTTTGACTTCTCTTTTTGTACATTGTTACAAACCAATCACATATGACACTTCAGATGTTGTTACCACCTTGTGCCCTATAATTTGAACAAAGCATCCTCATCCATTATCCTGTCATCCCATCCTTATCTTTATGAGGGTCTGAGTGTTCTAATACCACTCTTTCGGATCAAGATTGTGCTTTATTGTTTAGGTGATACCCAGATGTTACAACTCTGATAAGGCATATTTTGGTTCACTGCCTTTAGTTCATACTGTTAGCGCTCTAGCATGGCCTACACCAGACACCAAACTTAGTTTTTGGGCATGGAAGGAATAAACCAGGAGCCTGAAACAGACAGTGGAGACAAATTTCATACCCTTTGCATGTATCACAGCAAAGGAGGATTGAAAACTGTTGTTAAAGGAAGACCGGATCAGCATGAGAGACACGCAAAGGGCATAAACACCCATTTGTGTCCTTCTAATAGTTCTAGGGGGTGTTTTAATGTAAATGGGATCTAACATATTATTATATAATCAGACTAATAACTGAGATGTGACCAAGAGTTTAGCCTGATTGCATAATGTTGTTAAGGAACAAAATCACCAATACATCTCCCTTATAAACAGAAATACCAAAAGTGCCAGCTGGCAGAGGGCATACGAGAGGTGTAATGTTGTTTATGGGGATCCCCTGGGTCTCATGTCTGCATAACACAGAGCTAGAGGATGTCATGTAAAGTCTATATCAACAGCCAGTAAAACACTGGTCATCCTAATCATTGCAAGATACATGTATGAATGATATTTAAGTTATCTACCGGTATATTGAAAACTATGTTCTTAAGGGTTGAGAGTGAAGACAGGTCACTAGAAGGTGATTTAAACTCATTCTGCTTATATAGGTGATAGTAGATGCTTATCTCTCTGGCAAGTCAATATGTATTTTGTGGCTTATAGTTTAATACTTTTTGCATTACTGAGCCTGTTGCTAATGAGCAGATTATGCATTGTCATAAGAGAAGATCTGCAGGAAAAAATAAACACAGCTGGGGGCATCCTTTTTTATTAAAGACAATGGATGTTTGTGGTATAACTTATGAGTACTAGAAGGCATGTTACGATTTTATTTTACATGTAACCATTTTATTCCCAGTATTTCTACTTGTGATTATTTTAATGTCTAGTCTTTGTTAAATAAACTTTTGCTTGTTTGCAATGTAAATTTATCTGAGTGGTAGGGGTTATCAGAGCCCTATTTTGAAGGGAAGCTGGTGTGTATTGTTGCTTTGGAAGCAGCTAATTGCTCCAGGAGGGTATTTGGAGAGTTTGAGGCTAGAGATGTGAATGATTAACTAGTTAACCAGTAAGCATCACCTTCATTCAGTGATGCTTATGGGTTACAGTTAGCTGGCAAGGGCTGCTAACATTTAATCAGTTTAAAAGGGATTTTAGATCCCTACTTTGAGACTTGGAATGTGCCTGTTGCAGAGAGAGGGAGAGGAGGGGGGAATAGAGAGAAGGGGGGAGAGAAAGAGAGAGAGAGGCGAGGGACCTAGTTAAGTTTGTAGGGCAGTGCTTATGTTGTCAGTGGCCAGTAGTGTTGGGAAGCTGACCTTTGACAGGTATAGCAAGGCTTCCTCATGCTAAGGATAGTTGGTAGCGAGGAGCCTCACTGAGTATCCAAGAAACATTAGAAATATCCATTAGATATTAATCATTGTTACGCGATATCACTGAACTTAGTGGTTCGCCATAGGATGTTCTGGTAAAAATTATTTCTCTAGTTTATTTGTGTCAAGTTGAGTGTTCTCTATTTGTATTGCTTGTTTAATAACTAAACTGTAATCAGACTTACTGCTGTGGTGATTTGATTTTCTTAAGAGATTTGTTCACTTTCCCATTTCTAGGCACTAATGGGGAGACCTTTCCAGCTTTAGAGGAAGTTAATTTATCTTCACAGCCACCACAATCTGCAAGGGAGAGGCGACGAATAAAAAAGAAAGCAATGGAATTTACTGTATGTATGAAGTGCTTCTCCTTCCACTGCTATATCTCTCTCTTCCATTTAAAAGAGAAACCTCAGGGGTTTCTGCAAAGAGAGACTAACACAAATAATAGTATGAAAAAACTTTTGTATCTAGAGACTGAGAAAACTGGGATTGTTTATCTTACAAAGGAGACTAATAAGAGGGGACATGATAAAAGTATATAAAATAATGATTAGTCTAGAGACGGTAAATGGGTAGCTTCTGTTCTCCCTTTTCATAACACAAGAACAAAGGAACAATCAATGAAATCAAAAGGTAGCAATCTGAATAAAGGATTTTTTTATGTGATATGTAGCTAAACTGTGGGACTCGTTACCATAGGATGTTATTGAGAACAAAAACTTAACAAGATGCAAAAAGGGATTACACATTTATAATCACCGTGGCTAGTGCTCATTTTGGAAGAGATATTAAACCTAATTTTTCAGGGCAAATTAGTTTATAACTATTAGGAATTGGAGGGAGATTTGCCTATTTTGTAATGGCTTAAATCTTCCTCTGGAGTATTTTGGTATTGGCCACAGCCAGAGAGAATACTTTATACCTACATGACAATTACTGTGTTTTTTATTTCAATAGGAGTTATATTATATGGCTATAGATGATATGTTCACACAGTATAAATGGGTTATATCCCTAATGGCCCTTCTGCAGGCGTGTCTTATTTACTGACATCTTCCCATATTTTCTAAATCTGCAGGATGATGTTCCTTTTAGCAAGTCACAGCCTGACACCTTCTCTTTGCACTCAAGCTCCAGTCTCAGAGTTGACCGGCTGAAAGCCAGGAATGAAGAACGATTAAGAAGACTGAATGAATTGCAGAAGAAATCTGTTAACTTAGGTATGCTTTTTTTTTTTTTTGGATGTTAAAGAAACCAATATTAAGAATAAAACTAATATTAACAATAAGAAGAAATTGGCCAAGACATTTGGATTATTTTGACATAATGTAATACTCTATATATCACTGTTTTGCTGGAAAATTAGTTGTTAAAAAGTTTGAATTGAAGTTTGTTGCAGGTTTTGAGAGGTGAGGCAAATGAAAGGATATCAACTCAAGACTTGTCTTGTGACTAGTATAGTGGTATCCAACCTAATATCTGTGGCAGCTTTGGAAAGAAGTAAACCCTCCAAGAAAACTTACAATGAAGCTGGCCAATTGAGCCATGGCTATGGAAGCTATATTCTTTATTACCTTCTATAGAGATCAATACATGCCATGAAGCATAATGTTTCATTACTCCAGTCTTGGCACATTTACCTACAAATGATGTTGGTGATTAAAATTCTCAAATTGCAGTACTGAACTCAGAACTGCTATCACAAATAAATTCACAAACTGACTGTATGGGGAAGCATTTTATTTTTGTGCTGAGAATGTGTGGCTTTAATTACATGTATTGATTTGTCCCCCAGTCTGAATGTTGGGACACAGTACACTCTTTTTTCAAACCCTCATTACTTCATACAGTTCAAATACATCTTCACCATATTCAGCCCTCTTCTGTCTGTCTAGCCAACTTCTTTTCTGCCCTGGCTCAGACACATCCCTTATAGTTTCATTTAGTATCATGTTAACAAAGTTGCTATTATTGATCTATAGCTTGGTTGGTCTTCCTTTTATTAAATGCAATCTCCACCTTTTTTTCCTCTGCTACTTTGACTTCCTTGTCTTTGAATGGAGGTCTTCCTTCTTACTATCTATTTATGTTAACTATTAGTATTTTACTGGATTAAAAAGCTGCATTTTACAATGGCATTTAGTGTAATCTAAGCAAAGCCTGTTTGTCTGTTGGTGATTTTTCATGTGGATTCCATTCTTGGTGCCCATGACACTTATGCATACAAGATCAGATTCTTTTGGCTAGCATTGTCCTTGTGACCCCCTTCCCATGCCAGGGCATAAAGCAGTTGTTCTCAAACTTTTTGGCCCACAGCCGTCCCCACTCGTGCAAACCTTTCTGAGGACCACCCATGAAGCCAAAATGGGTGCAGGAGCAGACTAGGGATGGGGGATCTTGATTAGAGGGTGCAGAGGAGGAATGGGTATGGGAGGGTGAGCCAGGATTCTGCCCAATGGGAGCCAGAGAAGGGGTAGCAGCAATACATAGAGCTGGATCTGACTTGAGAGGCTTGGGGCTATTCCCCCTCCCCACCCTGCAGCAGGAAGCCAGCACTGGCACTCCAACCTTGCAAGGGGACTGAGGGAGTTGAGTGCTAGCATGGGCTCCCTGCTGTGGGGAGGGCGCCTGTCGAGGCCATGGCCCACCTACAGGATGGCTGCAGACCACTAGTGAGACCATTTTGTGTTCCACTTTGGCAACCGCTGGCATAAAGGATGGAGAAAGTCCAGTTGTCCCATGGTCCCTTCTTTCCCACTATGAAAGCAAGATAGAAACCTTGCAGAGTCCATTTGCTTTCCTAACAATAAACACTGTCCTGTTACTGAATAAGCTACTCAGATGAAGCTTTAAAACTCTGTACGAATTAGTTTTATTAAAACAAAGTAGTTAATTACTTCAAGGAGTACCAGTGGAAACACAGATACCCAGAGATTGACATACTAAACCCTCACCTCCAACCATTATACAGCCTGAGTTCTGTTGTCGAGTTTAACTGAACTCAGAATTGGAGGGGGTCGGGTTTGTTGTAGATGCCGCACTATAACTATATCTGTACATAACAATGAAATATGGATAGATAGCGAATGACAGGTGGTGTTAAGACAAATATACAGAGTATCAGTGGCAAGAAAGGGGGATATGTGGGCAGCTGGTAGATCTGGGAGTAAGAGAAGTTTGGGAACCTCTAGTGTAGATTCTTTTAATGCTAAATAGGCAAAATAAAACTAAGTCTTTTAATCAGTTAATATGCTAAGATACCTTACCAGTGCCATCCACTACTCAGGTATTTTTGCATCTCAAGTTTTAAAACAGCTAGTGGTTCTCTTTAGCCACTGTGCACACCTGGCAGGGCAGAGCGCGAGAGACTTCATGCATTCTCCTGCCTCCAGGACCTGATCGGCTGAGCTCAGTCAAACAACTGGCAATTGTCTCTAGGTGCTGGGGACGAGGGACAAGACTTTACATGCTCCCCCACCCCGAGGTCAATCGGGATCTATGGACAGGGGAACATGACGCCTGGCCCTGCTCCTTCTGCCCAGGGCTACTTCAGAAATTTATGAAGTGGCCTCCTTTTAAAAATGATTGCCCACCCCTGTTCTATACCCTGTCTTTCCTCCTAGGCTCATTGTGTCTATAAATGTCAGTCCGTTACTGTTATAACCTGCAAAGGATCTGTGACAGATATTAGCATCCTCATCCAAGTAAGCAGGCAGAGGGTACCAAGTCCCTTCCAAGGGATTTGAGTATTTCTGCTGTCACCCAATGCCAGGATCTCTGGTTATATCTTCTGCTTAGGAGATGTCCAAACAGCAAGGGCCTTTCAAGCCAACAACTAATGAGAAGGATGCTGAAGAGTTGGTCTTATTTGGATGCAAAGCCTACTTTTCATCCACCCTCCAAATGAAAGTAGATAACTGTACTTTGTGAGAAGCACTTCATTATTTCCACTGAGAGAAGCTATCTCAATTAACAGACAAGTTTCCTATGGAATATAAGGAAAAGTTGGATTTTTAATGAAAAAAAGGCATCTGGTGGCTGCATTTCCCTCCAAGAACCTCTAGATGCATCTAGTACAGTGTCACACACTGTGGCCACATTTATGGTGATGAGAATATAGTCCCGACTGCGAGCATCTGGGATACCCAGAGTGGTATCGGTCTACTTCAAGTTCAGCCATAGATATCTCTAAGAGCATTCCTTAGACTTCTGGGACAAATGGCTTCCTGGACCAACATACTGTGTTTTGCCATACTTCACATACACTCCATTCCAGGATAGTTGAAATCAGCATATCTATCCAGATGACACCAAAGTTTTTTCCAAACTAAACAAGCCCAGTTCATGAAGCCTGGCTTCATAGGTCATGTTCTCTAACCTTTAATCATTCTTGTCGCTCTTCTCTGTCCCCTTTCCAATTTCTCCACATCTTTCTTGAAATGTGGCGCCCAGAACTGGACACAGTACTCCAGCTGAGGCCTAACTAGTGCAGAGTAGAGCGGCAGAATGACTTCACGAGTTTTGCTTACAACACACCTGTTGATACAACCTAGAATCATATTTGCTTTTGTTGCAACAGCATCACACTGTTGACTCATATTCAACTTGTGGTCCACTATGCCCCCTAGATCCCTTTCCGCCATGCTCCTTCCTAGACAGTCGCTTCCCATCTTGTATGTATGGAACTGATTGTTCCTTCCTAAGTGGAGCACTTTGCATTTCTCTTTATTAAACCTCATCCTGTTTACCTCTGACCATTTCTCTAACTTGCTAAGGTCATTTTGAATTATGTCCCTATCCTCCAAAGAAGTTGCAACCCCACCCAGTTTGGTATCATCTGCAAACTTAATAAGCGTACTCTCTATCCCAATAGCTACATCATTGATGAAGATATTGAACAGTACGGGTCCCAAAACAGACCCTTGAGGAACTCCACTTGTTATCCCTTTCCAGCAGGATTTAGAACCGTTAACAACAACTCTCTGACTACGGTTATCCAGCCAATTATGCACCCACCTTATCGTGGCCCTATCTAAGTTATATTTGCCTAGTTTATCAATAAGAATATCATGCGAGACCGTATCAAATGCCTTACTAAAGTCTAGGTATATGACATCCACCGCTTCTCCCTTATCCACAAGGCTCGTTATCTTATCAAAGAAAGCTATCAGATTAGTTTGGCATGACTTGTTCTTCACAAACCCATGCTGGCTATTCCCTATCACTTTATTACCTTCCAAGTGTTTGCATATGATTTGCCTGTGGACATGCTAATGAGCGAAGCTCCAGGGAACAATGGGCCTCTGAAGGCCAAAGACACACCTGGCTACTGGCCATGTGACTCTAGCCAGCCTGGAAGAAACCAGGAAGGAGGTATAAATTTGCCATGTGGCCATCTCCATCTTGTACTCAGCTCAGCACTTCATCCCAGAGGCAGCAGTGCAGGGATCGAAGAGCCGGAAAAAACTGTGGACCCATCCTGACCTAGGATGTGCAACAAGGACTTTTAAGCCAACAGTTATAACATCTTTGCTGCAAGCCTGCATCGAGAACTGGGAGATTCGATGCATGTAACGTATGATACTTTAGCAACCTCACTCTCATGCTTTTCTTTCTTGTGGTAATAAACCTTTAGATGGTCGATTCTAAAGGATTGGCTCAGCGTGATTTGTGGGTAAGGTCCAGAGGGTAAATTGACCAGGGATCTGTGGCTGCTTTCTTGGAACTGGACAGAACTTGTTCAGGAAAGGTCAGATTGAGTACTAGACCCCTCACCTGTATATGAGGTCCGGGGCCATCTGGGGCATAGATATTGCTGGGGTTTTGGAGGGGTTTAGCCACGAGTCTTCAAGCAGGCAGCTGAAGTGCTCTGTGGGACTGGTGTGTGGCCTGTTTGGGAAGATCTCCAGACTGGGGCAGTAAGGAGTCCCGAATTTGAGCAATTTGCCCTGAGCGGATGCCCTCAGCTGTGCCCAGACCTGGCCCAGTCCATCACACTAGCTCTCTCCCTTGACATCACTCATTTCCTTATCTACTAGCCTTTAAGCCATCTGGGATTTCTTTCAGTGTTAAAAGGGTACATCTAGCAGCAATATAAGCCGTTTTCCCTCCTAAACAGGGTCATACCGTATTTTCCAATCCTACAGTGGCAAGGTTCTCTAGGGTTCATACTATAGAATCATAGAATACTAGGACTAGAAGGGATCTCGAGAGGTCATCC